TAAAGCCCTAACCCCAAAACTCTAAAACCTAAACCCACCTACAAACCCTCACATTCGGAAATGACGGCTTGCGGCTATGAACAAGGACCAAAGCTCACATCCGGACCCTAATTTCCAAGGATGGGTAGCACCACTGGGCTTTCTGTTAGCTAATGTAGAAGCCTGAGTAATCATCAGTACTACTCCTTAAAATAATAAGAAGAATAATAACCAACAATGATTTTGTATTCCAAAACCCCAGTTAAATCATTAAGGCCCCGTGTAACACTCTCTGATCCAAAACGAGTCTCAGGCACCGTCGTGGAATCTCGTGAACCGGCAGCCTCGTAAAAATCGAAGCAGTCTCAACCGCAAGTTCAAAGTTCAGGGGTAGGGTGTTGTACTCCTGGAGCCCTATTCAACTAATTGCTAGTCTTAGTCCTCCGAAGGCAATGTACTACTCTACTCTAGACCCCGTCACAATTACGTTCCGCGAGTCAGAAGTATAAGTAGGACCCTCTGGTTTGGAGACTCCTGGCAGACAAGACGAGCCCTACAGCCGAGGAGCCCTCAACACCCTAGAGCCCCGCAGCCCAAACCCTGCAACCATGAGCCCAAAACTAACCCCTAATCCTTCAAACCTAAACCCGAAACCCCTCAACCCTAAACCCCAACCCCTGCAACCATGAACCCCTAAACTCCCAAACCCCAAGCCCTCCAAACCTTAAAACCTAGGACGACCCTACCATGCTTCGAGCCCTAAACTCCTAAAGCCTAAGGCCCTAAACTGGTAAACCCTAGGGCCTCAAAAACCCTAAGGTCCTAAACTCCTAAACACCAACAAAACCCTAAGCCCCTAAACTCTTAAACCCTAAACCCTAGGGCCTTAAAAACCCTAAGATCCTAAACTGCTAAGCACCCAAAGAAACCCTAAGGCCCTAAACTCTAAAAACCCTAAACCCTAGGGCCTTAAAAACCCTCAGGTCCTAAACTCCTAAGCACGAAAAACACCCTAAGGCCCTAAACTCGTAAACCCTAAGCCCTAGGGCCTTAAAAACCCTAAGGTCCTAAACTCCTAAGCACCAACAAAACCCTAAGGCCCTAAACTCTTAAACCCTAAACCCTAGGGCCTTAAAAAACCCTAAGGTCCTAAACTCCTAAGCACCAAAAAAATCCTAAGGCCCTAAACTCCTAAACCCTAAACCCTACCGTGCCACACAAGCTTTCTTCGGCCTTCGAGGATGGTCTTGACACCCACGTCGATCGTGACTGGGTCAGAAGGAGGGAAACGGTTTGTGGGTTTAGGATTGAGGGATTTTGAGGTCTTGAGGGCCTAGGGGGTTTAGGATGGAAGGTGTTTAGGTGTTTAAGGTTTCGGGGTTTAGGATTTAGGGTGAAAAAAGGTGTTTAGGGGTTTAGGGTTCTCTTTGTTACGCAATCCAAGCCCATGCTGACTAGTTTACCCTAAACCCTAAACCCTAAACCCTAAGCCCTAAACCCTAAACCCTCCTGTTTTCGAAACCTCAGTCCATAAGGGGGTAGCGTTCAGGGTTTAGGCTTACACACCGCATGAAAGCTGGCATGCTTTTTGTGGCTGCAGAGTGCGGAGTCTAGTGTAGGGGCCTTAAAAAGTAGGATAGGGGTTTGGGTTTAGGGTTTAGGGTTTAGGGTTTAGGGTTTAGGGTTTAGGGTTTGGGGTGCATTATACTAGAATTAGAACAAGGAGCCCCTAGAATAGTCTTGGTAATTATCTCAGCCCCTATATTATATAAGCCCTTGAGAGTCTTGCATAGGGCTTCCGACAAAAGGAGGAGTCTGGGAGGGCTATCTTAATCAATTACTTGCAAGGTCACTTCGCCTTAAAACCGTACCTCACGGTAAACAGCCTACAATTGTGGGGGTGCTGATTCTGTGTGTTCTCTTTTGTTTCCACATGCCAAGGTGTACTTCCCCTAAGCCCTGAGCCCTAAACCCTAAACCCTAAATCTGGGGGCCGAGGTGATGGCAGCAATGTCAGCTTCGGGCAGAAGCAGCTCATTAGCCTGGCTCGCCGCTCGTCTTTTGGGAGTCTGGTCTGTGGGGTTAGGCTAATTAGGGCTTTTTGGGAGTCTAGCCTGTGGAGGGCCGTAGAGACTTAATAATTTCCGGCTTGGTCTGCACAGATGTAGGGTTTAGGGTTTAGGGTTTAGGGTTCACGTCCTTGCTCAACCAGGTGCAACGTTAACCTGCTGCAAGTTGATTGCAGCCTCCAGCATAGTTCTCAACTCCATCATGACCCAACAAACACAAGCTCCCCAACTCCCCAACATGAAAGTCACTAGGTGAAGCTCCCTCAACCAATGTACCTTGAAACCCACAACATCCTTAGCCTCAACCTTAAAAGCCTAAACCCTAACCAGGCATGGTGATTCGCCAGCCGCCTGTCTTGCTGCTGGATGCACCTTGGCTATAGTTCACAATGCGCAGGTGTCAGAGTTTAGGGCTTGGGGCTTCGGGGGTTTTGGGGTTTAAGGTTTAGGGCTTAGGGTTTAGGGGGTTTTTGGGTTTCAGGTTTAGAGTTTAGGGTTTAGGGGGTTTAGGGTTGAGGGTTTGGGGCCAAAACACCAAACCCTAACCCTTGGTTTAGGCCACCTCGTGCTGGCAGCAGCTGGGAAGGGTCATCCTCAAACCCTTAGAGCCCGAAGTCAAAGCTTAGCATCCTAAACCCTGAAGCCACTCAAAACCTGTAGAAACCCTTTTCAAAGCCCCTCACACAGCCCTCATAGAACCCTGAACCCAAAGCAAAGCCCCCCCCAAATCTAGTCCACACCCAAAGCCGCACGAACCCTACCTGCCGGTTTAGGGTTTGGGAAACTTGTCTGAACAAGCAGTTGGTCAAAGACACTGCACCCGCCCAACCCCCCAACCCACAACACAAAGAAGGAACACGCATGTACACAAACGCACACTCACACACAGACAAAAACAAAATACTGCCTGCACTCTAGTCAAAGATTCGCCCACCCCAAAAAATTGAAACGTTGGCCCAAGCACAACACCTTTTTGGTTCATATCATAGTATACTGCTGTATTCTGTTATATTATCGTATAGTATCGTATAGTTATGATTTGTTTGCCCCTAGACCCTAGACCCTAAACCCTAAAACCCTAAAGCCCTAAAACCCCGAACCCTAAAACCCTAAACCCAAAAACCCTAAAACCCTAAAGCCCCAAACCCTAAAACCCTAAACCCTAAAACCCTAAACCCTATACCCGGTTTGCGATTGTTTGCGCTGGGCGAGGAGTGCACGTCGGCACTGGACCCCATCACCCAGGAGGCCGTACAAAAGAGCATCCTCCGCGACTTTCCCAGGCCAGGGTTTTGTTGGGTTTAGGGCTTTTAAGGCTTTTAGGATTTAGGTTAGGGTTTAGGATTTATGCTGTAGGGTTTAGGATTTAGGTTTTTGGGTTTGGGTTGCCCGGTAGTACTCGTCCCCCTGTATTCTATATCTTTTTGTGAGTGTGGATTTAATTGCTCTAGCAGCGTAGTAGACACACCGGTCCCCACACTACTCCGGGTTGGCGGGCCGCCTAGGATAGCAGGATGCTACCGGTAGTATAACATGTCATGCTGGAAAACTGAAAGATGATATAGCTTGGCTGAGCAGATGTTCCTGGTTTGCATCGGACAGTGCAGCATTTCAGGGTTGGAGATTTGGCGGCGCTTTGTTTGTTACTACCTCGGGCTGGCAGTGAAGCTTTAGTGCTTCGGGGTTAGATGACGGCGACATCTAGTCCTGCTGCCACTGCATCCTGCTCCAAGTCTTAGGCAAGCCCAAATGTTCGGGTTGAGCACCCATGCGGTCCTTGAGGCTGAAGGTGTTGCAGGTTCGTGATGGGGGTTGAAAGTTCATCCTGTCCATGTTTCTGTAGCTCCTTCCACAACCCGTCAGTGTTGGTCTTTTTGGTCGTAGGGTTATGGTTTACTTGAACACGTTCTCATGTGCAGGACCACGGTCATTGCTGTGGCGCACCGTTTGGCCGCTCGCTGGAAAGAGCTCTGTAAGCGCCGAAACAGTGAAGATATAGTCCGAACCATTGAACTCAGGGTTGAGGATTTAGGGAGCGTTTAGGGTTTAAGGTTCAGGACATGACAACATCACGCTGTCCTGTAAACGACCCACTGCTGCTGCTGGTACTACTGCTGCTGCTAACACTTCGACTAACACCTCTAACCCTACGACGGCGACAACAACAAAAGTCCCGACGCGTCCGCAAGCGCAGACATTCCCGAATTCGTGGGTGCAGGGTTCAGTTTGTGTACCTGCAAAGCTGAGGAAACTGTCTTGGACTTCGAGCAGATCTGTGTTTTTCACCAAGGACTGAAGCCGAATTCCTACTTCTTACACTTGACCTTAATGCCTTAATGTCTCAAGTCGAAACTCCACACCTTCCCATGCTAGATTGCCGACACTTGTTTGGTGGCCTCTCCAGACGGCAATATGCTACGGGGCTATTTGCTTAAGGTTCATGAACCCCAAACCGCCTAAACGTGTAATCCTACGCCCCCAAACCCCTATAATTGCTTGTAGTAGGGTTCATGAAACCTAAACCGCCTAAACGTGCAATCCTAGGCCCCCAAAGGAACCCATACGATACAGGAGCCCGAAGCCCTCAAACCTAAATTGAAGCCCCAACCCCTAGTACAGAGCGCAGTTCCGTACCCCGCAAGTGTGGCATACTTTCAGGCTGCAGTGCCTCATTGAGCCCCTAAGTATTGCTGGCAAGTGTCTCACATATACACACGTGTATACGCACGTACGTCCGTATGTATGTATGTACGTAGAGCGGTAGGTATGTATGTATGTGCACATCTATGTGTTTACGTAAATATGCATACACAGGTACACATACCTATCTGTGTACATATACGTACGAACATGCCTACATACATACATGTAGACATACATACGGATGTACATGCAGACGTACAAATGGACGGACAGACGGATGGACAGACAGACACACAGACACACAGACACACAGACACACAGACACACAGACACACAGACAGACGGACGGACACAGACAGACAGACAGACAGACAGACAGACAGACAGACAGACAGACAGACAGACAGACAGACAGACAGACAGACAGACAGACAGACAGACAGACAGACAGACAGACAGAGAGACACACACACACACAGACACACAGACACACAGACACACAGACACACAGACACACAGACGCACAGACACACAGACACGCAGACACACACACACATAAGTAAGTAAGTCCTGGATGTATATATCCGTCCATCCATCCAGCCAGCCATCCATCCATCCATAGATCCATCCATCCATGGATCCATCCATCCATCCTTTGCCATACACCCACGCACCCATGCACGCACAAACATACATAAACACGCACACATGCATGCACATACACATACATACATGTATACTTATAGATACAGATACGTACCCACACACACGAAGCGTATGTAGTTGGAGCCCGCGCTCTGCGCGGTCACCACGTTTCTAGGGCTTCTTGCCTGAACCCACAGCTTTTCCATCGGGTTTCTGTTACTTGCCCATTCGAGGCTTCCTTTCTTCTTTTTCGGATATTCGGGTTTATCCTTGCTCTCGGACTTTCGGACTTTGATGTTCAGCATGTTTGGGCTGGATCGAGGGGGTGGGGGGCGGGGGGGTGGGGGGGCAAGAAAAAGACATCCTTTGGCACCGACTCATGGTCGTTCCGGATCAGAGCAGTGCCAGGGCCATGGATTTCGAGCGTGGGCGAGCGTACTTGGCGCTGCTTGTCGCGGTGCTTTTGTTGCAGCGCTTGGAAAGGGGTTTTGCTAAGAACCGTTTCCAGCATTCAGATTGCGTCTTTCCTGTTGCCAGACCCCGCCGGGCCCCAAAGTAGTTTTCAATATCCACACTCTTACAACACTATTGCCTTGTCCGGCCCGAACAACCTGTAAATTACGATGCGAACGGCTTCTCGTTGCTTCCTCATGTGCTTGCTGGCCAGTGGCCGCGCAAGGGGCGTACACCATGTAGTTGCATAGATTTGTAGCGTAATCGAACTATTGCCACTATCAAGCATGACAACGAAGCTGGCAGCAACAGTAACAATATTTGTCGATGTGCATGCATGCATGCATGCATGTGTATGTTTGTGTGCAATAGATGGTTGTGTGTGTGTGTCTGTTTGTGTCTGTTTGTGTTATTGCTTGCTTGCTTGCCTGCCTGCTTGCTTGCTCGCTCGCTCGCTCGTGGCTCGCTCGCTTGCTTGCTTGCTTGCTGTGCTTGCTGTTCGTGCTTTGCTTGTTTGTTGTTTTGTTGATTGCCTGTTTTTGCTTGCCTGTGTGCGTGTTTGTTTGTTTGTTTGTTTGTTTGTTCGTTTGCTTCTTCGTCTGTCTGTCTGTCTGTCTGTCTGTCTGTCTGTCTGTCTGTCTGTCTGTCTGTCTGTCTGTCTGTCTGTCCGTCGGTGGGTCGGTCTGTTTGTCTGTCTGTCTGCCTGCCTGCCTGCCTGTCTGTCTGTTTGTCTGTCTGTCTGTCTGTCTGTCTGTCTGTCTGTCTGTTTGTCCGTGTGTCTGTGTGTCTGTTGTTTTTCTGTCTGTCTGTCTGTTTGTCTGTTTACTTGTTTGCATGTGTATGTGGAACGTCTGCTATGCAATGTACGTATGCATGCATGTACAAACAAACTTGCAGATACATGCATGCATGCATGCATGCATATTACGTACCCCTACAGTCTATACACATATACCTGTTTTTGTTGTCATATATATATATATAGATATGTGTGTGAAGGTGCTTGGTTGTATTCATAGGAGTGTGTATATATATATATATATTCTATGCATCTGATGTGTAGCATTGAAGCGAGCTAACCAATAAGCGCTTGACCCGTCAGCTCCAAGCCAGAATATAGGTAATACAGGGGTTTCAAAAAACAGAATATAGGCTTGGGAATTTTATTTGTTGAATATGACCATTCAGTCTTCTTGATTTTTCTTGAACACCAAAGCCCAAACCCCACCATTCCGCCCGCCTGCAGGAGATGTTGTCGAGCGTGGCACCGTGGAGGAACTCAAAAAAGCCGGGGGCACTTTCGCAAAGATGCTGCAGGCCGTTTATGGTTTAGGGTTCGTAGGTTATCGGTAGATTTCAATCTTACCTATAGTCTCCATTGTAGTTCCTTTTTGGGGATACCTTCTAAATTCCTTATTATATGTTTGGTTAAACCAAACAAAGGAACTACAATGGAGGCTATAGGTACAGACCAGCTTGTATCGATTGATTCTTCGTGTTGGGGACCTGTGTTTGGGAGCTGTTTGCTTGGGTTTAGGGTTTAGGGTTTAGGGTTTAGGGTTGACAAGTTCGTTCAGGCTTCTTTGGCTGCTTCTTGTTTTAATCAGGCCTTCAGGCTGAAGGATTCATTGAGGGTTCCGGGTTTAGGATTTGGGGTTAGGGTTGAACCCATGATACTTGGCTTTTGCACACGAGTCGCCTCATCGCTTAAAGTGGTGGGTGGTCGGTATCGGTTGTTGCAAGTCTTTCCCGGTAGAGTCGCTGCAGACCGGACGCAAAAGGGTTGAACCCATAACCCCTGAACTATTGAAGGTTGTAAGCCTCAATTACCCCTAAACCCTAAACCCTAAACCCTAAACCCTAAACCCTAAACATTATGGCATTATGGGCCGTAGAGATTCCTGCTTCGTACCTTTGGAGAAAGAGGGTTTGCCGTGTCACTTGGACTTTCAAGGGTCGGGTGCCCGGCACACCCCCTTCCCATGCTGGTCATAGCCCTAAACCCTAAACCCTAAACCCTAAACCCCAAAAGATCCTTAGACGTGACTGGAAACTGCTATTATTTTGTTCCCTTGTAGTATCATTATTGTTCTTTTCGCTATCATATTATTTTGTTTCCTTGTGGTATTTTTGTTGTTCTTTTTCGCTATCATAGCGATAGCACCAACAACGACCAAACAACAAAAGTTGTAGCCGTTACTGCTGCAAAGGACATCCCACCGGCAGCCACAGTTGCACCGGCATCTGGCTATTTGTTGACAAGGATGACAAAACAAAGGAAAAGTCAAATGCGCGATAGGCAAGTTCACATCGTCTTGCTTCTGCGGCGCTGCACCCCCTACACAATGAAGCACATGTGGTGGCTCGACCCATCACATTAAACCCTGCACCTATTCTGAACCCCGAATTGTGCAGATACAATGCCTTCCGGCCAGGCAAAACGGATGCAGCCTCCGCAGTAGTGAAGCCTTCCCTGGGGCTTGGGAAGAATTCCCTCCTCTTCTCTGCGGCCTTGATGCAGCCGCTAGCAGGGTAATCCCTGCTTCACGTGACCCGGTGAGGCCCTAAACCCTATGATAAGCTTGCAGAAAGTGACGCGCTGCAGGCCCCGATTTTGCAGACTTCTACAAACAAGCAGCTGTCGTCATGAATCTGCACAGCCTAAGGGTATCTACGAAAAAGAAGCTGTTTTACTCGAAGCATGCGGTCCTGTAAGTCGTCACACTGAGCCTAATTTTCTGGCCCCGGCTGGGACAGCAAGTCCACGGTAGGTGTTAGCTACAGAAAACGATGAGTGTAATTACAGCTTATGCTGAGTTCTAAAACCTAAGCCCGCTGACGCTATCATCGCGAGGTTATCCCAGAGTGACCGAGTGATGTGTCCAGGCAGCTCAAGTGGGCACATAAGAATCCCACTGGGCTCAAGAAGGCCGGACGACCCACTTCAAGCCTCAACAGATCCCGTATAAATCCCTATAGACCCCGTACGAATCCCTACATAGATCCCTTGTAAACCCCCATAGATCCCTTATCAATCTCTGTATAGACCGCTTACAAATCCCTTAGATTCCTTATCCCTGTTTTTGCAGGGATCTTGACGAAGATCCCTTGTAAATCCCCGTAGATCCGTTATACAAATTCCGGGTGGACCTACGGGTAGTTCTCTAAATTAGGGCCCGTTCTTGGCTCCCTCCAATAGTACGGCACCCCTAAACCCTAAACCCTAAACCCTAAACCCTAAACCCTAAACCCTAAACCTATAACAAGAACCCTCAAAGGGGACCCTAGTTTACAGAACTACCCTTAGAGTGCTGGGGGTTTCCGTCTTATGCCTTAAACTACAATAACCTGCTGAACCCTCATCTGAAGTCTCTGGGATTCAGACCCCATAAACATGTAGGTTCTGGTAGGTTGAGGTAGGCTATAGGTTACTACGAACATCTTGTAGAGCCGCCAATGATGACCCTTACCAGCGGTGCAGATCTCTATATTGTATACTTAGCCACAGAAGCTCCGTCCATCATATTCGGAATTTCAGTGCCTTGGTGGTGGCCGGACATAGGAGCGAGTTCAGGGATAGTCCATTGCATAAGCCCCAAACCCTAAACCCCTATTCCGAAACCCTGTCAGGGACCTTATATTGGGTCCTTATGGGGTGTAGGGCCCTAGCTATAAGGTCCTGAAAAGCATAGGGTAAGTCGGAAGGTTGAGCTCCGTCAGATAACCCTGACACTGCCCAAACTGCTAATCCGAAGTCCTAGGCTTCTAAACTTCAGAAGCCCGAAGTTGTGAATCAGAAGAATCCCAAGCTATTGGGTTTAGGGTTTAGGGTTTACTCTAAACCCCAAACCGTGAACCCCAAGCTACTGGAGTTGCGAGGAGGTGCGTCCGAAAGTTGAAGCTTTGTCTTCTTCCGCAGTGTCTTCACTCGCCCCGCTTTATGGCGAAGCGCAAAAACAGGGAGAACTGGCATTTAGGGTGGTAGGGTTCATGGTTTGGGGCTTCAGGGTTTGGGGTTTAGGGCCTTACAGAGTTACAGAGTGTCCAGGCGAGATTACGCAAGCCTGTTGCAAAAACGGCTTTTACAGGTTTTAGAGTTAGGGCTTCTTTAGGCTTCTGCTTCTTGGGAGGATCTATTTAAAGGGCCCTAGTACTAGCTTCCAGTAAAGAACCCTAATAAACCCGAGGTTGCTAAATCAGGTTCCTATATTAGGGACCGTAATTCTATTACACGTTCTGGGCACAAGGAGCTCCCGGGTATAATTTTATGGGACGTGGGGAGAGAGGATCCCCAACATCCAGGGTTTAGGGTCTAGGACTCGCACCTGAAGAGACCCAATACCCGCATTGCTTCTACTTCAGAAAAGCATGTCACGCCGCAACTGAGGGGAAGGCCTCCTGGCACGGCTCTCAGATGTGCCGCTTGATAATTGGGGATTGAAGTTCTTTGGGTGGGTGGTGCGGGGCTGGCAAAAGCGACAGAGAGAGAGAGAGAGAGTGAGAGTCAGAGAGAGACAGATAGACAAGATGATGGATGCCGGCAGACACAGACAGGCAGACTGACGGATGGAAAATTCGCCAGTGTGGCAGGAAGACAAAACAGACAAATTGTTGGGAGTTGACTGCTTTGTATTCAGGTTCGACCTCTAGGCTTTGAGTCAGGAGGATTCGACACTCATGTGTTTTGGGATCACGCCCTAAATAGTGAAAGCCCAAAGCTTGATGCATTGTACTGTTGATGATATAAATCCTGCATTACCTTAAGAGCCCTAAACGATGGGATATATGGTATATTCATTCTTTATTATGGAAAATGCCGGATGTATGCCATCAACCGTATCCCCCTTTCTTCCCGAATGCCAAACCCCGACATCCCATTGCCAGAAGGATTGTCATATTGGACTGCATCGTGCATGTTGTATTACGTGTTATTTATGTACAGTTTATTTATGCGTGTGTATGCATAATGATACCTTACATTCTGCATGCAGGTACAAACATATGTATGTATACATAGATATCGAAATACATGATAGATACATGTGTGCATATCTATATATATATACACACCCGTATATAATGTAGTAGGCCGGTGGTCCACGTGCTCGAGCACTGGGACCTTTGCGAAGAGCTCGGATGATGGTTTGGGTTTTTTTCGCAGAAGCGACCCAGAGAGGGCTACTACAGGCTCTTGGGGTTTAGGGCTATAGGTCTCCTTTACAGGGCTCCTTCACGGAATCATAAGGGGGCTTCATGGGTTCAGGGTTTAGGATTATGTATGTACGTACATGGTTCAAGGTCATTTCCCATAAGGAGCTTCATGCGCAGGATGGTGTAAGCACCTGACATAATGTAAGTTCCGCAAGAGGGGCTTAGTGAACATGTATGATGAAGTAAGTACATGATGTAAGGCAAATTCTCAATTAAGGCGGTGTGGGGCTTTCTGGATCCCTGGTCGATGTATTCCATTGCAGCCCTTTGCTAAACGCAGCACCCTCAACCCCACAGCCCAGTTCGAATGGTTGAGGCCCCGTAGCAAGATGGCTTTCAAAGTCGCAACCCTAAACAGAAACAGGGCTTGGGGGTGAGGGTTTAGGGTTTCAGGGCCAGCTCATGCGTTTCTCTCTGATTTCGGGCTTAGGGTCATTGCACGGGTTTCTTTGCCTACAGAGCTGGCACCTTGCCTGTGCCATTATGTTTTCAGCTTGTGTGTCTTACGGACTTGCCCACATCTTCATTGCCTGGGTTTGTCCGGGCCAATGTTGCTACTATGACCATATGAGAGACACTCTCCAGGAATCTCTCTTGGACAGGGCAGTCTGCTACATGCTACTTTGGAAGGGTTTTAGCAGGATCGAATGTTGAGTTGTGCAAAAGGACTGTATAGTGCTGGACATTGCGCAACGGCACCCTGGAGTACATGTTCTGGATATGATTGCCTTGTTGCATACAGGAGGGCGCGTGGCCGGTCTAGGGGCGCTTGAGAGATATGGACCTGTAGTCTACTAAGACGTCCACTGTAGACGAAAAGCTTTGTGCTGAAATCCCGAACCCCTAAACTCTACATCCCTAAACCCTCAACCCCTAAACATCTAAATCCTAAACCACCTGTTGGGAATTCAGTCGGAGCGGGCCGTACCAGGCAGACTCCTTTGTGGGGAACCCTGGATGGACGAGTGGACTTCACAGTCCCTTCCGAGGCCGGGAATGTTAGAGAAGTCGTTTCATGATTTTAGCGGTGTAGGGCCTACCTGAGTCCTATAAAACCAACCTTTCTAGGATGATCTCTTTCTGTAAGTCCTTCAGACGGTAGGTTATCTGGGATTACTGTAGGGCTTTGGAGGCGACACCAGGTGGGATCCCTAGTAGGTGTAGGGTTTATAAACCCTACGAGGTTTAAAGTTTAGATGTTGGGGCTTCTCAGGGAACTGAAGGAAGATTTCAGATAAACAAACAGTTCTTCATGGAATGTAGCGCTTCTGCACGCTCCTCACGATCAGAAGGGCCTGGCTCTGAACACTTCGCGCCGGCGGACCGAGTGTCGGGGAGGGCAATGGAAGTTTGAAACAGGGCACCGACCCAATATAGAAGCCGAAATAGTGACCTATACTATTTCGGGGGTTCCTTATTATCACTATAGTATACTATACCCCAAAACCCTATTCTAACTCTTATGGCCCCTACATTGCCATGTGCGATCAAGGGCTTCTGAGTGGACACTAAAGCCAACAGAGGCTAGTTCCTTGAGAGCCTTCGAGCTCAATCAAAGCAGCGGCTCCCGACACATCCCCTAAACCCTAAACCCTAAACCCTAAATTGGCGAGTCTAAGGCTCAGACCCAGGACCCTGGCCTGTGCCTAAGCTTCTATGATTCAGAATCACTGCAACCCTAAACCCAGGTCAACTACGGGGGTGTGGAGAAAGGCTCTGCTCACCGAGCCAGATTCCTGGCACTTTGGGGTTTAGGCTCGATTTCGGGTTTAGTAGGGTGGTTCAGGATTTCGGGGTATGGGCTTCCGTTCCGTGCGCTCACGTGATGGCATGTGATACACAAGCCTCGAGCGAGAACAGTGGAGCAACCGAACAACAAAATGGTCAAGTTCAGCTGCGCACTCATACACCTGCTCTCGATGTTGCAGTCGTGACGACAGGTGATGATGATGATGATGATGATGATGATGATGACGACGATGATGACGATGACGATGACGATGATGGTGGTGATGATGCTTATGGTGATGAAGGAGGTGATGGTGATGACAATAACGATGATGATGACGGCGTCCAGGGCGGTGAAAGTTATGACAGAATCCTGCTCAGCACTTTTGTCACTGGTCGCCTTGTGATTAGCTTCGCATCTGCTACCACAGCGAACTCGGCTGAAATGGTGCTGGGAGCTTTCCCGCAACCCTGAAACCCTCAACCAAAGCCGCGAATCCTGAACCTTGGCCTAGAACACTTT